CCCTTGCACCGATCATCTGCACCGGTGACCTCGACGGGCCAGTCAAACAACGCCTCGGGGGTCCAGCCAGGACAATACCCGATCGACTGAGGAGGCGACGATGACACCGTATCGTCCACGTCGTCCAGAACTGGTGACACGGGAACCTGCCTCCCCTTTCCCTTGCCTGCTTCCTCGGCCGCAGGCTCGGCCGGCCAATGAAAGGTGACCCCGTCCCCCTCTGCCCCACTCCTGCCCTCCTCTCCGAACCCAGTCCCATAGCCACTATCCCGCCGCGCACACTCGGACTCCCAGTCCTTCAGCCCCTGCAGGTGGATACCAGGATCGAAGCTCACGAATACGAGCGCTTGCATGCCGCCGTCCGTGCCAGTCGAGTAGACCAAAGACCGCTCATCCCACTCGCCCCGGAAGGCCCCGGCGTGCGCCGGCGGGTTGACGACGCGGTGCAGCTCGGCCAGCATGGCCGGGTCGGTGCGTGTGTCGGGCGGGCTCTCCGGCGGCCAGAAGGTGATGGTGTTGCGCGCCTCGCCCTCGTACAGCCGTGCCGCGCGTCGCCCGTGCGGCTGCGCTGGGTCCCAGGCCACCGGGTCCGCCAGGATCGCCTGGGCGGGGCGGAGCTTGCGTGATCCGGCGCGGAGGCGCAGCCGCGGTACTGCGGGCCCGCTGTCGCGTTCTGTGGCGGTTGTGCTGCGTAAGGGGTCGTCGACGAGATCCAGGAAGGTCTGGCTTGCTGGGTGGTATGAACGTATGAAGCACTTACTCAGCGTGAACATGAGGGCCGTTGAGGCATCGTCTCCTGCGTGCGTGGTAAATGGGCAGCGTGGGCGGGCCGGCGGGATGCTATGCGATAGGTCGTAGCTTGTGTGTGGCCTCACCTCCGAAACGGCCTCGGTGGGTGGGTTGATGATGATGCCACCACCGACGTTGTTGGCGTCCGGGTCCGGGTCGGTATCGCTGCTGCTGCTGCTGCTGCTGCCTTCTCTTCCGTCTGAGTCTTCTGCCTTGTCCGGGAAGACCAGCTTGGTGGTGTAGTAGTTCCGCCGTCCAGAACTCCCGGCCAGCCACTCCTTCCGAGATTCCAAGACCTGTAGCTGCGTTGGGTCTCGCTCATCCCGGATCAGGCGGATGAATGACCACCGGTCATCGATTGGCCCCTCCGCGTGTTGCCTTCGCCACATCTTGTCCTTGACCGATCTCTCGGTTGTCTTTGGCTTTGGCGCCGCGACGGGGAACCTGAAGCAGTGGTAATGTGAAGTCCAGTCAACCTCGTCGACCTCGAAGCTTGTCTGGTTGGAGAGGCCGTAGAACTTGCCATCTATGATTTCGAACGTGATAGACTGCCCAATGTCAGAGCCGACCATGTCCAGAAGATGGATTTTCTGCTCGAACCGAAGAGGACCCTTGCTCTGCAGAATCAGCGTTTCGCGCCGTCGGTCGGCAGGATGATCTCATCGTCCTCAGCAATGGGCTCAAGGTGCAGCCGACGAGGATCGAGTCAGAGGTGCGCGACAGCAGTCTCGTCAATGCTGCTGTTGCTTTCGGGCAGGGAGAAGTGGAGCTTGGCCTGCTCATCGAGCCCGCTGAGCCCGCGGCGGACACCCTCGAATTCAAGAGAGCGATCTGGCCTGTTATACAAGCCGCGTGCGATCAGATGGATGCTCGTGCTCGGGTCTCCATGGCGACCATCGCAGTGCTGCGACCTGGTCAGAGCTTGCCAAGATCTGATAAAGGCACCGTGATGAGGCGGGAAGCATATTGCCGTTTCCAAGAAGAGATTCGCAGGGTCTACAGCGGACTGGGCAACCGGGAAGGATGCAAGAGGGTCTCAAGTCCCGTCACATCCACTCTCCAGGACGTGCTGCATGACGTCATCCGGGAGGAGCTGCAGCACCCGGGTGCAATAAGCCCTGATCAGAACTTCTTCGATCTTGGCATAAACTCGCTACAGGCAGTACGCATTCAGAGATCAATCATCCGGGCCACGAGAGCGTACCCCAGTCTGTTGCCGAGTCGCCAGGTCGCCGCCGAGATTGTCTACAAGAACCCTACGATCAGGAAATTGACCAAAGTCCTGCAGGGGCAAGCCCCCGACAGTGATTCTGATGATAGTCAGGCGATCGACAATTACATTTCCAAGTTTAGCCTTCCAGGTCGCTCCGAGACCCTGTCCGTCCAAAAGAAGGGCATCACCATTTTGCTCACCGGGGCCACGGGTAGCCTCGGCTCACACCTGCTCTCGCACCTGGTCACCCTAGCCGACGTTACTCGAGTCGTCTGCTTCACCCGGAGTCATATTTCCAGGAAAAGCCACAGCCACTCACCATCTGAGAGGCTCATCAACGCCGTCAAGGAGACGGGTGTCAGCATCACATCTTGCTTCCGTTCCAAGGTCGAAGTTGTCCAGGGCGATGTTAATGCCGTCAAGCTGGGTTGAGTCCTGATGCCTACACAGGATTGTGCAATACGATCACGCATGTCGTGCATGCAGCTTGGCCGATGGACTTCAATCTGCCTCTTGAGTCTTTCGAGAGGCAGTTTGCATTTCTGCAGGACCTCCTCGAGCTGCTTAGGGGTGTCCACTTCAGCAACCCATCAAGAAAGCCCCGGCTTCTGTTTATATCGTCGATTGCAACAGTTGGTGGTCTCTATTCGCCTCATGGGAGCTACGTGGTTCCTGAAAAGGCGTTTTCGGAACGCTCATACATCAGTAGCCTCGGGTACAGCAAGGCCAAATTGGTCTGTGAAAGACTCATCGCTCAGACGGCAGCGGACTGGGGCTATGAGATGGAAGTAGGCTATGTTCGTGTGGGCCAGCTTTCAGGAGACGAAGGCAGCGGATACTGGAATCCGAAAGAGCATTTCCCTGCCCTGGTCAGACTGTCTCACAAAATCCAGGCATTTCCGCTGTTAGAAGGAGTAAGTCGGAGGCGACCTTCAAGGTAGAAAACAGGCTGAGCAGAAACATAGACCCTATCATGGTTACCTGTCAATCTTGCTGCTGTCGCCCTGTCCGAGATACTGTTGTCGCCAAAACCTATGCAGCTGGTCTACCACGTGGAGAACCCTGTGCGTCAAGAGTGGACGACAGTAGTGGGATTGATCGCGAAAGAACTAGGCCACCCGCCGTCCTCTTTGGTATCTTTGAAGAAATGGCTTGAGCAGGCGACGCAGCAAGACCCCAAGCAATCCGACTCACGCAGCACCTTCTTGCTGCAATTCGTCAAGGATCACTTTGAGCATATGTCTGCCGGGGGTATAGTGCTGGACACCCGCAAAGCTCAGGAGGCATTCCCGAGCTTGAAGACAATTAGCGAAGTACCCGGGGGCACGATAACAAAGTATGTGCAGAGGTGGAAAGACGATCCTGTCTGGCGTGGTTTGTAAGGATGCTTTACTGTAATTTGCTACGGACTTCACAGGATTAAAAGGTCTGCGTCATAGCGGGTCAGTCTGGAATTATTCGTTAACGAGAAAAGAATGTCGAAATAACGCCTATTTTCCAAGTTCCTTGTACACTCATGGCTCATGCAGATTAAGCAAAAGGATTTCTGTTTTAGTTTGTTGCCAACAAAGTAGAGAACGAAAGTCTATGGACTCGATTTTCTGGAGAGTGGTGAGTCATCGTCATCGGAGTTTAGGATACACAATGCACTTGCTTTTCCTCGGCGTTCTGCGCCTGGAAGAAGACGAGTAATCGCATTACTAAATATCATTTGCACTCAGATTATTGCGCTTCTTGTTGCGTTGCTTTCTTGGCTCACCTTCCTGGTCCTCTTTCCATTGTCTTGCTCGTCGCTAGATTCTTTGCGCTTTCTCGTTTCCGAAATCTCAAAACAACGAAGAGGTTCGTTTTCATCAGTCGACTCCAGTAAAAAAACCCTCTGAACTCATCGCGGAGGACGCATCGACAGGGCAACCAGAACCGACCGATCTTGAGCCGTTAGAGACGATTCGAATGCAGGAATCAGGTGCGCCACTATTTCTGTTAGTTGAACTAGGGGGCTAACATCGACTAGGCACAGGCACAGGCACAGGAGCGGATAGAACAGGCAGCAGGCATGGCGGAATAATCGCGGGTGCTCATTGCTCGCTTCACGTTGCAAACGATAAAGTCGATGCTAGCGTAAGCCAACGATCCGCTGAAGTCGTATCATATGGCTTAGACAGCGCGCCATGCATAACGACCGATACTTGCTTTGAGGCTACCCCCAGCTTGCCATCATTGGTCCAATACGGTGATGATGATGGCAGATTATCCCTGAACCAAGAGACGGACCTGACTGACGCATTTGACAATGAAGCCGCTGGTGAGTGGGGAGTTGTGGAAATTCTTGGAGAAGAACTCAGAAATGGCGAGGTCTACTATCGGGTAAGATGGGAGGACACCTAGGAGCCCAAGACGAACTTATTTCACTCGCCCGATGTAGTCGGGAGATGGCGCGACAAGGTTAACACGCTAAGAAACAGGCCGGGACAAAATTCGGCCGGTAGGAAGCAAAGGACCAGAGAAAGGCACCGGGACGCGCTCGAGAGATTCGAGAGAGCACGGTTTCAGAGTGACTACAGAATTTCTCGATCATACAGTATAGTAAAACCACCTTTTGATAGTACAGTACAGTACAGTACAAACTGGTGTATTTGGGTCTCAATCACGGACCGGTTGAGCCGTTGACAAAGCGGTCCAGGGTTTACCGTCAAGGAATAGTGGGAAAGGTGGTGCTTTATAGTAGCCGGAATTTAGGCTGCAGCGCTTCCAATCGGGCAGTGCAGGGCGTATCGCTTAAAAGTTTTTCTGGTGTATTATGTTGAGCCGCAAGGCTTTCTACAGCTCCGCCATTTGGGGGTTTTGGGTGGGTGGGGGGGGGGGGACTGTCTATTAAGTCGTTAGAGACGAGATGGCACTGTCTTTTTGTACTTCTTGAGTTGTTCTATGATAATCCTCCGGTCTGTATTACACTCTCTTTCAGTATCATGATGTGTAAATTGGAATGGCTCGCGGCCGCTGTCGGAGTATTGGAATTGGAAAACTGCTATATCTTTGGCAACAGCCACGATGAGTTCACATATATCGTTTCTCAACGATTTGTTGAGCTATGCCGGTGTGCAACTTAGGTCAGTCCTCTCCGACTCGTCCCACGTGGTCCTCATAATCGTAGCTAGATCCGCAAGCCCATCCTGGAACACGTCATTGAAGACATTTCCCGAGCCACGGCCGTCTGCAAGAGGTTTGCTTCGGTTGTCGATGGGGTCCATAGCGAGGAGCATTGAGGAAAGTGTGAAAAGTGGCAACAAGGACATGATTTGTGGCAACGTGAAAGGAAAGTTGACCCCACTGTGCTGGGGAAGGCGTGAGGAAATGAAGCTGGCAATGCTTGTTTGAAGCAATTGCAAAGGAGGCCATAGGCCAAGGGGAAGGGAGAGGGCTGTGAAATCTTGGTTATCCGCCAATTCTCAAGGCCTTAACGAGGCATTTAGGTCAGACTTCGAGTACATACAAATCATCATCTTGGATAGTAGGTTCTTTGGCATGGACCACACTCACGTCAATACATTCCGTTGTTCATGAATTTTGAAATTTCAGCAGTATCGCATACCCGACAATACTGTGACAGGGAATTGTTTCCATTCTTTAGGAAATTAACACGGGAAGCAAATGATGAAATCATTTCAGACACACCACTGACTGGTGTAGAACTAGCGTTGCTGAGTGATCGCTGGCGCCAGTGGTGAAAAAAGTGAGGCACAATGTGACACATAGGTGCATTGGGCGGGCCAGGCGTCCATTAACATATCGGACTGCGCCTGAGCAAACAATCACACCCCCTCTCAAACCAACAAATCCAAGATCTCGTTTGCCTAGCAATCGTTTGCTCTTGGGTGAATCTTCGTTTTCAGCCTCGCTGCCAGGGTAGAGCGTGACATCTGCTGCGTGAATCGCCCTCACCCATCGCCTGATTGGTGTCCATATCTGGTTAAACCTGCATTAATGCTGGTTGTCTGCATACAAATGCAGTCAGGAACACCGGCCAACGTGCGATGATCGACTCATTCGAATCTGGTTGGCTCCTCAGCACAAGGCTTGCCAATTGGCCGTACATGAGTGGGCAGGGAGGACTGTTGTGTTGATGTGTCTGTGTTGTCTTGGCTCAGAAAGGTGTAGGTAGATTGGAGCATTGTGTACACAGGGAGACCGTATATACGTGAGAAGCTCGTCGTGTCCAATCCATTCACTCTCTTCCCGAACGTTCTCAAATTCACGCTGGACACCACTGCTGTTAACATCATCGTCCACATTAGCAGATTGAAGAGTAAGTCCGAATAGTTACGAGGTATAATATAAGGAAGTAGGCCTAAAAAATAACCGAGTCTGAAGCGTGAATATTGTTTGCTCAACGTGCATGGTACATCCCGCCCCCTTCACTGACAATCTGAATCCTACTTCGATGCCCGGAGCGATGGCACCATCGAATATCTTCCAGACGACGAGAGACGGAAATCCAATGGGACACAGATGACTCGACGGGCGAGATGATACGCGTCTTCTGCCCAAAGGTCGACGACGACAACCATGCGAGCGAAGCCGACACCAGTAACGACAACACACGGGAAGCTCACTTGATTGACAGCCAGTACGAGCGGCGGTTGAAGGGACGGGGTTGCCGGGGTTGCCGTGGCTGCCGGCATTGCGCTGAGGAATGTGTCGAGGAGGATCGCAGCAAGTTCGCTGGCGGGGTCCAAGCATCTCCCGCCATCTTGTGGTCGCTAACGGACCGCCTGAAGACCATGACTCAAGATCCCACCTTATCGCTCCTGATCACAAAGATTCGGCCGAGTGGGCACGCGACGGTCCGTCTCTACAGCGGGCAAGAAGCGGCGTCGACAAAATCCCCGGACGGCCAACTCCGCTTCCTAGGAACGGCGTCACCTCAATTCGTGCTTGAGGTTGGGTACAGTCAAAAGGCAACGAGCCTTTCGCAGCTGGCCAAGGACCACTTTGAGAACAGCGACGGGGCTATCAAGATAGTCTTGACTATCAATATCAATTATGCCAAGTCCAGGGAGCGACATTCGAATGCCAGAGTGGGCGCCCACAGCGCCACATTTTGTCTCTACCGCGGCCCAGAGCGCATCCATCACAGTACCGTCTTCCGTGACGCCCAGCGTCAACGACTAGCCGACGTGTCTCTCCGGCCCTTGCTGGCTGACTTCATCCCTGAGGACGTCCTCGAGGAGCTAGACCCTCAGCTGCGACACGAAGTTGAGCAGGTTGCACTCGATCTCCCCTCTAAGTGCTCTTGCCAAGTGAAGGTTCCCTCTCGAGCAGTTCCTTCAGAGATGCTTTGTCGCATTTCCGGATCTCGCTGAAGGCTTATCCCCGGCTGACTTGAATCGAATTGTGCCTTGCGGGCGCATGGCTTTCTTTGAAACATTGTTCTCAACAAAGTCGACTCATCTTTGATGATGTTCCAGCACTAAAGCCAGCGGGACCAGGGCAACAAGTGTGCTTTAGCGTGAGGGACAGCCCTGGAGGAGTTCATCGTCAGTCATTGTTCCCAACTTTTCCACCGGCGTTGTTCAACGTTCTCGCACTGGACGCCTCCAAATCTGAACACGCCATATCAAGTTTCTCAACGCCAGGATAAATGTCTTCAACATGGAAGGAAGGACTGCTTGGCAGTTGTATCCCCGTCGACCTGTGCTGTGAAGGATGCTGGTGTCCGTGCATAGTCTTTGGGCGAACCATTCATCGCTTGAAGAATGAAGGGAATATGCAGGAGTATCATTGCTGTAACGTTGATTGTGGCATTCTTTGCGCGTTGCATGCTATGGGAGGCTGCGGCTGGATGTAAGTGTTTGTGGGCCTTACGCATTTCCCCGACGCGTGTCAAGGGCTGACCAACACTTTTTAACCTAGGTACCAATGTTGGAGACGTGGTAAGATCCGCACGGAATACCATATAGAGGGAAATAGTTGCAATGATTGTGTGGCGTCATTGTGTTGCCACTGTTGTGCTATAATCCAACAGGAGAAGGAAGTAAAGACTCGGACCGCAAGCATTGTTAGCGATTTTCTTGCCCTCTCTCACATATTGGTACTGTATACAGTACAATTTGAAGCCAAGAAACGTAGCATTAACGTGGACTTCTTGAGATTGGGACAGGATATCAGCAGCAGCCGGAAATGCGCGTGTAGAGAAAATGGATGGATGCGGGCTCCGGGCTGATTCGAATCGACAAATGCAGGACGTCTCAGTACATCGACATTACTGCCCACCTATCTGCAAGCTTAATTTTAGATGCTGATCATGTAGTTGGTGGTCTGATTGTGAGGCGGAAGAATTTATCTTAAAAGTACAAACGGAAATAATAAAAGTTCTAAACACCACTAAGTGCAGTACTAATTTTGGTACCAGCATGAGTCTGAACTCGGGTAGAAAGAAGTGTACTGTACTTTATTGGTGACTGATCAGATATAAGGTCTTTTGTTAGACAACAGTACATGTCGTACTGTAGTGTATTGTACAAGAAATCTATATTTAGTCTACATCAAAAATTGTCTGCACTCAGGCCAAGGCCGGCCGCTCATCACGGGCTCTCGGAGTACACTTTCATAAAAGGTACACTTCCCACTACGGCGTAAGTACCTCACAGCCGGAACTTACTAACACTACGTTCTATTCAAGGAAACGTGTGCTAAAGACACGACTTTTCGAAGTCTTTAATCGAAAGTCCCAAATGTCATACTGTACAATTTGGAACATAAACAGCTTCCTCTTTTCCAACATCAGGGTTTACTCACCTGAACAAAGTCCCATTATCACTGCTCACAGTGCAGTGTACGGTATTAGCCAGCATGCCGTACATAGCATGCCCGCTCACTCGCGGCGTCAGCCCCAGGACCTCGTTCGAGATGGGACACAGCTCCACACACGTTGCGAAATCGTCCCAGGGAACGATTCGTTGAGGGAAAATACGGCCGGTCGGGCTGGTCGTATCACCCTGCGTAGT